TGCCCCAGTCATTAAAAAGGAAGGATAGGCTATCCCTTCTGCACCTCTTTTTGTATCCTTCTCTTCTGTTTCGAGATGATGTCTGTTCTGTTCCGAGATAATATTGGAGAAAATATTTTTATGTTTGTCTTTTCTGAGTTGAGATAGTACCTTTCATACATTGAATTTAGGAAAAATGCATGGAAACATAATCTTTGATTAAGCTTTTTGAGATTCTTGAGAAAGCAAATTGGTGATCCTGTAACGTCGAAGAGGTCCCATGTTCAGATTTGGTAGGTTACAAAATGTTCTTTACTTGCAAAGGAGTTTGTGCTCCATAGAACAAGTAGCTTTTGCAAAAGTTGTGCAACTATTTATGAAGCAGAAAACATCTTTCTCCATTCACACTTAAAGTAAATTGCACTTTTTTTCGTTTAATATTTTCTTTTTCCTCAAGGGAGATTATTAGTTTAATCTCCAGCTTCCTTATAGCTTAACAAGTAATGCTAAAATGATCCATTCAAATTAAAGTTAAACCACCCATCTTCTTCTTCTCTCTTGTTATAAGTCAGGTTCTGGTTGAAGTTTTAAGAACTTGTTTGATGGGTTTTAGTTTTTCTGTCAAATTAGTTTGATGGGTTAGGTCAGTCCATTTCCTGGTGTGGTTCAAAAAGTACCATTAGGATTAACATTGGGTTAGTTGGAAAATCATGGCTGCATCAATTCTGGTCAATCTAATTTTATGAGCATTATTTGTTTACTTTTCTACTGCTTGGTTGACAGGTTAGAGATGGGCTCCACACATGCCACCCTCTTGGTTGTTTCCTTGATTTTCTTGGTCATTTTAGGCTCAAATCTCATTGCAGGACAAACATACTCATCAAATTCTTCTGAGCCTGGTAAGTTTTGGAAGATTGAAGTTGCCATTCAATCCGGAAATCCAAACTGGCCCATTTCCTTGGATGGAGAAAAGTACTTGGCCCTTAAGATAATGATTTCTTGGTGTTGTTCTGGTTCTATCAGGTACATATGTGCTTGCTGTGAACAATGTATCACAGACTGTGATGCAGCCAGATGATACAGTGAGGGTGGATCCTCTAAAGGATCTCAAGAAATATAGAGGAGGATATGATATCAAAAACAAACATTATTGGAGTGTAATTCCCTCTTAATCTCTTATTAATTCATAATTATGTGAAATCATGATGCTCATGTAGGAAATCAGTGATGCCATCATAATTTTAGCATTTATTAATGTAATCTCATGTTATATTTTTTGCAGTCAACCATGTTCACAGGAGTTCATGGGCATGTCATTGGGGTAATCTGGCTTCTTGGTGGCATAGCATATGGAGGCTTTCTGCTAGCAACTGTCTTTTGCTGTAAAAATAGAAGGAATGAAAAGCTGAAGAAAAGATTACCTTGCCATAAGCAATGCTACCTCTGGCCTATTCTCCTGGCTATATTTTTCACCATCTTAGCAATGCAAGTCACGTAACTTTTGCATTCCAAAATCCAAATAATATTAACTGATGCAAGACTAACAAATAGAAAACTATCTGCAGAACTGCATCTGGGCTAGTTCTTGGAGGGAATGCGAAGTTCCATTCGCGAGCAAAAACTGTTGTAGACATCATCATCGACACGGCAAACAATGCAACAAAAACCATGTACAACACAACAGGAGCAATGAAGGACATGAAAGAGAGTCTAGGAGCATCTAATCAAAGTGCTGCGGTTCAGGCATCTAGCTTCCTTACCTCCACATCAGAGAAACTTAATGTTGAGGCTGCTGATATACAAAGACAGGCCAGGAAGAATAGGCGGTTGATCGATAAGGGTCTCAAGATTGTGTAAGTCTGTCTCTCCGATCACAAATCATGTGTATCCATGTCCATTTGAGCTCCTCTAAAAGATAGTATATGATACTTGCTACAGGTATATAGTAACCACAGTGACAATTTCCTTGAACCTAGCTGCGCTAATTGCTCTTTCAGGTATTTCTCCCTATGTGTCCAACTCATTAGTCCTGCTGCCTTTTCGATTTAGTTGATTGATACAACTTTTGAGCCTCGTGAAATCAGAATGGAATAGAAAAAAAACACCAAAATCTGGCAATTTATTATGATTCAGCATCTGAACATCTATTCATTATTATGATCATGTTGAATATATTTCTCATCTAAGTTTGAATTCATTCTGTTGCAGTCTGTGGAACTCTGAGGTTACGGCGACCACTTAACATGTAAGTGAAATAAAGGATCCTTGCATGGCTGAAGCCGAACTAGCACACTTCCTAAAAGAAGGAATTGACTGTCAAGTACATTGGATTATACAAATTCTTATGATTTGTTTCTCTTGCAGACTAATAGCAGTGTGTTGGATCCTGACTGTTCTATGCTGGATATTTTTTGGGCTGTATTTCTTCTTACAAAAGTAAGTCTTTCAAGTTTTTTCCATTACCTCAATTTCTCTATTCTAAACAAAAGTTCATAAGAATTGATTGAGGAGCTGAGGTTTCTGAGTACTTATTGAGGGAAAATCAACATGTTCTGCAGCTTTTCAAGAGATTCATGCACAGCTCTCGAAAGCTTTCAACAGAACCCTTACAATAACAGCTTGAGTTCAATCCTTCCCTGCGATCAATTGCTCTCTGCAAAACCAGTCTTATTTGATGTCAGTCAAGGGATCTACAGCCTTGTCAATCAGGTAGATTAGCAGGATGCTAAATGTCATTTGCATTTTGTTTCTATCTGATTTAACCTCTGTCATTTTATCATGTGATTTACACTAATACCTTCTTCTGCTGAAACATCACAGGTGAATGCAAACTTATCGACCATACAAGGATTGCCTTATACAGTGTGCAACCCCTTCTCAGCACCACCTGAATACCAATTCCAGCCTGATAAGTGCGCTTCTAATGCAATCCGAATCGGCGATATCCCACAGGTATGTCAAAGGGAAGATCAAATAAATTTTGTAGCCTAAGATCTTGCTGTTCATATTCACCACCTGAATTGCTATTCCACAGGTGTTGAAGGTATTTACTTGTTCCAGTTTCGACAACGGAACATGTGCCAGCGGACAATTCATATCACGTAATGATTATACAACAGTTGAGGCATACACAACATCCATTCAGAGCCTGCTAAATGTGTATCCTGAGATGGAAAATCTTGTAGAATGTCAAACAGTGAAGGACGCATTTTCTGAAATCCTTTTGTACCATTGCAAACCATTGAAGAGATACATTCGAATGGTGTGGACGTCGCTGGTGTTTCTCTCTTTAGTCATGGTGTTTTTGGTTCTGATATGGGCAAAGCTGGCTCAGCACGAGCAAGAACACCATTCTTTAGATGGTTTTGTTAAGCCACATCCGTCTGTCGCAAAGGAACCGGAAACTGGAAGCACAGATAGCTCAAACCATACTAGTCCAGTCTAGGATGTAGTAACATTATACCTAGGATACTAAATTAAATTCTGGAAGATGAATGGTGCAAGCCAGCTTCCATGAACACAGGATAAAAAATCATGATATACGATACTGTACAGGTAGATTAGACACATACCATAAAGAAGTGGAGGTCAGAAATCAAGAGCGCTGCAGAGATGGATTTTGTCCCGGTAGGGAGATGGTCACAAAATTTTCAGGAGGAAAGTCAATACAGATTTTTTCATTCATTTGATTGAATATCGGACCAAACCTAGGGGACCAACCCCACTATAGAATGTAACAAAATTTCTCAAGGCAATAATATTAAATTCCAATTTAATTCAGATTCCCCCCCATATCTTTTACTTTTCTTTGTTATGTTATTTTTGCTATTCATCCACCTTAAATTTACTTATGTTTTTTTTAAAGGTAAGAGAATTTATAAATATAAATGAGATATAAAAATAATAATAGGATAATTTAAAAAATTATACTTAATATGATGAGTTGATCCATAAATTCCATAACCATAAACTTAATTCATGTCATGTTTTAGTTTATAAGGAATATAAACATTAATTTCAGTAAATTTAATTAATTTGATTAGTTTTTTAATGATTTATTTAATCTGATTAAATTTAATGAAAGTTCAATCATTTAAATCAAATATTTTTTTTAAAAAATAAAATTTCCACTAAAATGTACTCAAGCAACATAAATAATTTACTTACAAAATTAAATAAACATTTTCCCATCCCATCATTTTATTCGAAGTAAAATTCGTGGACGACTTGTCGCTCCAACTTAAAAACCACGCGTAATCCATTTGGTAATAAACAAACTGTCGTCTACCATTGCTCGGATAATCGCCGATTTGTCGTCAAAAGACAACTTGGAAATGCAAGCACTGCCTGTTAACCACGGAGAAACTGAAACAGGTAAGGTCTGCACAAAAAAGGAGCAGCCAGCTTCGCCAGTAACAAGCCCAGTAGAGCTCAAAGAATGTATAGAAGAGTTAGTAAAGTTCACTCCTGGGGTTCAATTTAGGCCCCTCAAGGGAGTCCTCTTCTTACCTGCTCAAAGAAGATCAAAATGATCACTACCCCATTTCACATACTACTTATGGTAAGAAAGTATTGAACTTTATGCATTAGAAAATGAACTACTTTGATTTGTTGTTTCCGGTTCTTTTTCTTTTTGTGTTTGGTTTCTGGGAGAGTGGCATGCTTGGACTCATTTGGGCTAGTTTTGGTTTTTGATGATATTATTGATGGTTGCTGAGAAATTCAATGGTAAGGAAAGGATTGTGAAAGAAAAACAGATTCTCCTTTTGAAGTTATAATTTTAATTGGTTTAATGTAGAGTTTTTTTTTTTTTAAAGTTGTATATACTTGTATTGGGATTTATTCCTTTGGCCATTGATTGGTTGCTGAGAATTTATAGAAAGAAAAAACATGAAAAGGAAATACAGAGGGAGAGAAAGTTCGTGACTTTATTGTGCTTTGATTGAGATTGAAGTTGCCATTCAATCCGGAAATCCAAACTGGCCCATTTCCTTGGATGGAGAAAAGTACTTGGCCCTTAAGATAATGATTTCTTGGTGTTGTTCTGGTTCTATCAGGTACATATGTGCTTGCTGTGAACAATGTATCACAGACTGTGATGCAGCCAGATGATACAGTGAGGGTGGATCCTCTAAAGGATCTCAAGAAATATAGAGGAGGATATGATATCAAAAACAAACATTATTGGAGTGTAATTCCCTCTTAATCTCTTATTAATTCATAATTATGTGAAATCATGATGCTCATGTAGGAAATCAGTGATGCCATCATAATTTTAGCATTTATTAATGTAATCTCATGTTATATTTTTTGCAGTCAACCATGTTCACAGGAGTTCATGGGCATGTCATTGGGGTAATCTGGCTTCTTGGTGGCATAGCATATGGAGGCTTTCTGCTAGCAACTGTCTTTTGCTGTAAAAATAGAAGGAATGAAAAGCTGAAGAAAAGATTACCTTGCCATAAGCAATGCTACCTCTGGCCTATTCTCCTGGCTATATTTTTCACCATCTTAGCAATGCAAGTCACGTAACTTTTGCATTCCAAAATCCAAATAATATTAACTGATGCAAGACTAACAAATAGAAAACTATCTGCAGAACTGCATCTGGGCTAGTTCTTGGAGGGAATGCGAAGTTCCATTCGCGAGCAAAAACTGTTGTAGACATCATCATCGACACGGCAAACAATGCAACAAAAACCATGTACAACACAACAGGAGCAATGAAGGACATGAAAGAGAGTCTAGGAGCATCTAATCAAAGTGCTGCGGTTCAGGCATCTAGCTTCCTTACCTCCACATCAGAGAAACTTAATGTTGAGGCTGCTGATATACAAAGACAGGCCAGGAAGAATAGGCGGTTGATCGATAAGGGTCTCAAGATTGTGTAAGTCTGTCTCTCCGATCACAAATCATGTGTATCCATGTCCATTTGAGCTCCTCTAAAAGATAGTATATGATACTTGCTACAGGTATATAGTAACCACAGTGACAATTTCCTTGAACCTAGCTGCGCTAATTGCTCTTTCAGGTATTTCTCCCTATGTGTCCAACTCATTAGTCCTGCTGCCTTTTCGATTTAGTTGATTGATACAACTTTTGAGCCTCGTGAAATCAGAATGGAATAGAAAAAAAACACCAAAATCTGGCAATTTATTATGATTCAGCATCTGAACATCTATTCATTATTATGATCATGTTGAATATATTTCTCATCTAAGTTTGAATTCATTCTGTTGCAGTCTGTGGAACTCTGAGGTTACGGCGACCACTTAACATGTAAGTGAAATAAAGGATCCTTGCATGGCTGAAGCCGAACTAGCACACTTCCTAAAAGAAGGAATTGACTGTCAAGTACATTGGATTATACAAATTCTTATGATTTGTTTCTCTTGCAGACTAATAGCAGTGTGTTGGATCCTGACTGTTCTATGCTGGATATTTTTTGGGCTGTATTTCTTCTTACAAAAGTAAGTCTTTCAAGTTTTTTCCATTACCTCAATTTCTCTATTCTAAACAAAAGTTCATAAGAATTGATTGAGGAGCTGAGGTTTCTGAGTACTTATTGAGGGAAAATCCACATGTTCTGCAGCTTTTCAAGAGATTCATGCACAGCTCTCGAAAGCTTTCAACAGAACCCTTACAATAACAGCTTGAGTTCAATCCTTCCCTGCGATCAATTGCTCTCTGCAAAACCAGTCTTATTTGATGTCAGTCAAGGGATCTACAGCCTTGTCAATCAGGTAGATTAGCAGGATGCTAAATGTCATTTGCATTTTGTTTCTATCTGATTTAACCTCTGTCATTTTATCATGTGATTTACACTAATACCTTCTTCTGCTGAAACATCGCAGGTGAATGCAAACTTATCGACCATACAAGGATTGCCTTATACAGTGTGCAACCCCTTCTCAGCACCACCTGAATACCAATTCCAGCCTGATAAGTGCGCTTCTAATGCAATCCGAATCGGCGATATCCCACAGGTATGTCAAAGGGAAGATCAAATAAATTTTGTAGCCTAAGATCTTGCTGTTCATATTCACCACCTGAATTGCTATTCCACAGGTGTTGAAGGTATTTACTTGTTCCAGTTTCGACAACGGAACATGTGCCAGCGGACAATTCATATCACGTAATGATTATACAACAGTTGAGGCATACACAACATCCATTCAGAGCCTGCTAAATGTGTATCCTGAGATGGAAAATCTTGTAGAATGTCAAACAGTGAAGGACGCATTTTCTGAAATCCTTTTGTACCATTGCAAACCATTGAAGAGATACATTCGAATGGTGTGGACGTCGCTGGTGTTTCTCTCTTTAGTCATGGTGTTTTTGGTTCTGATATGGGCAAAGCTGGCTCAGCACGAGCAAGAACACCATTCTTTAGATGGTTTTGTTAAGCCACATCCGTCTGTCGCAAAGGAACCGGAAACTGGAAGCACAGATAGCTCAAACCATACTAGTCCAGTCTAGGATGTAGTAACATTATACCTAGGATACTAAATTAAATTCTGGAAGATGAATGGTGCAAGCCAGCTTCCATGAACACAGGATCAAAAATCATGATATACGATACTGTACAGGTAGATTAGACACATACCATAAAGAAGTGGAGGTCAGAAATCAAGAGCGCTGCAGAGATGGATTTTGTCCCGGTAGGGAGATGGTCACAAAATTTTCAGGAGGAAAGTCAATACAGATTTTTTCATTCATTTGATTGAATATCGGACCAAACCTAGGGGACCAACCCCACTATAGAATGTAACAAAATTTCTCAAGGTAATAATGTTAAATTCCAATTTAATTCAGATTCCCCCCCATATCTTCTACTTTTATTTGTTATGTTATTTTTTCTATTCATCCACCTTAAATTTACTTATGTTCTTGTAGAATGTCAAACAGTGAAGGACGCATTTTCTGAAATCCTTTTGTACCATTGCAAACCATTGAAGAGATACATTCGAATGGTGTGGACGTCGCTGGTGTTTCTCTCTTTAGTCATGGTGTTTTTGGTTCTGATATGGGCAAAGCTGGCTCAGCACGAGCAAGAACACCATTCTTTAGATGGTTTTATTAAGCCACATCCGTCTGTCGCAAAGGAACCGGAAACTGGAACCACAGATAGCTCAAACCATACTAGTCCAGTCTAGGATGTAGTAACATTATACCTAGGATACTAAATTAAATTCTGGAAGATGAATGGTGCAAGCCAGCTTCCATGAACACAGGATAAAAAATCATGATATACGATACTGTACAGGTAGATTAGACACATACCATAAAGAAGTGGAGGTCAGAAATCAAGAGCGCTGCAGAGATGGATTTTATCCCGGTAGGGAGATGGTCACAAAATTTTCAGGAGGAAAGTCAATACAGATTTTTTCATTCATTTGATTGAATATCGGACCAAACCTAGGGGACCAACCCCACTATAGAATGTAACAAAATTTCTCAAGGCAATAATATTAAATTCCAATTTAATTCAGATTCCCCCCCATATCTTTTACTTTTCTTTGTTATGTTATTTTTGCTATTCATCCACCTTAAATTTACTTATGTTTTTTTTAAAGGTAAGAGAATTTATAAATATAAATGAGATATAAAAATAATAATAGGATAATTTAACAAATTATACTTAATATGATGAGTGGATCCATCAATTCCATAACCATAAACTTAATTCATGTCATGTTTTAATTTATAAGGAATATAAACATTAATTTCAGTAAATTTAATTAATTTGATTATTTTTTTAATGATTTATTTAATCTGATTAAATTTAATGAAAGTTCAATCATTTAAATCAAATATTTTTTTTAAAAAATAAAATTTCCACTAAAATGTACTCAAGCAACATAAATAATTTACTTACAAAATTAAATAAACATTTTCCCATCCCATCATTTTATTCGAAGTAAAATTCGTGGACGACTTGTCGCTCCAACTTAAAAACCACGCGTAATCCATTTGGTAATAAACAAACTGTCGTCTACCATTGCTCGGATAATCGCCGATTTGTCGTCAAAAGACAACTTGGAAATGCAAGCACTGCCTGTTAATGTTAACCACGGAGAAAACTGAAACAGGTAAAGTCTGCACAAAAAAAGAGCAGCCAACTTCGCCAGTAACAAGCCCAGTAGAGCTCAAAGATTGTATAGAAGAATTAGTAAAGTTCACTCCTGGGGTTCAATTTAGGCCCCTCAAGGGAGTCCTCTTCTTACCTGCTCAAAGAAGATCAAAATGATCACCATCCCATCTTACATACTACTTCTGGTAAGAAAGTTTTGAAATTTATGCATTAGAAATGACCTTATTGGATTGGTTGTTTATGGTTCTTTTTCTTTTTGTGTTTGGTTTCTGGGAGAGTGGCATGCTTTGACTCATTTGGGCTAGTTTGTTGACTTTGGTTTTTGATGATATTATTGATGGTTGCTGAGAAATTCAATGGTAAGGAAAGGATTGTGAAAGAAAAACAGATTCTCCTTTTGAAGTTATAATTTTAATTGGTTTAATTTAGTTTTTTTTTTTTTAAAGTTGTATATACTTGTATTGGGATTTATTCCTTTGGCCATTGATTGTTTGCTGAGAATTTATAGAAAGAATAAATATGAAAAGGAAATAGAGAGGGAGAGAAAGTTCGTGACTTTATTGTGCTTTGATTGTTGTTTTCTTAATTAATGTTACTTAAAAGACAATTTGATATTGCTTTATTTGCTAATTTTTCTTTTTTCAGTCAGTGAGTTAAACTGTTGCAGATTGCTTCAGACAAGTTCCTCCACAGCCTCTGTACAAGTTCCTAGTGATGGCATTGTATGATTCTGTAACCTGTGGAAAGGCATCTAAGAAAAAGGACTTGGCGGATGAAGACAGTGAGTCCAAATGGAGAAGAGAATGGAATGATTTGAATCTGAATGAAGGAACTGAATTGGTAAATATATATTTTTTTGTGGTGCTAGTTTTTGCTTTCTATTGGTATCTTCACAATTCTTAACTGATTGTTTCAATTTTTATGATCATAAATAATTGTTGAATCTTATCAGATATTAAAGACTGTAAACTTTGAACTTCATGTTCAGGAGCCTTTCTTCACATAACTGAAAGGTACAGGCTGTTTTCTTGCTTATAATTTCTGTACCTTACTATGAATGACATTCACCTTCTATGTTGTATCCTTGTCATTTCTGGGGTAGTTAAAATTAGATTCAGTTAAAGGCCAATTATGGTGATTTGGTACCTTTTGTAGATGGGCTGAAAAAAATTGATGGGAGGTGTGCTGTAGGCGACTATAATTGGTAGAGTTGATGTCTTTTTACTTTTATGTAGTTGGTACACATTTCTTTCTGGTGCAATTTATGTTTTTTGACTTTTTATGTGTCTATTTTTGTTATTCCCCTTCGTTTGGTTCCAGAATGGCATCAGGAGCAGTAATCCTTATCAATAAGTGTGTTGCTTCAGGTTCAGGTTATAATAATTCCATTCAAACTTCCTATGCTTTCTTTTTGCAATTTGGTTTTCTAATGACCTCAACAATGACCTCTTCGTTTGGTTTCTAATGACCTCTTCTCAGCAAGATTATCATCGCCATGCTTCATTTTTTGAGATGTTGGAAGCAGGGCCTTGAAAAGTCCTTCATGGAGTAAACACCATAGCTGAAGGTAACAACCTGCACTTTACTGGAAAAAACAACTCGTTTTGGAAGGGCTCAGATAGTTTTTTTTTTGTGGGCCAAAATAAATGACTTTATGCTTAGTGTCCAGAGCTCCATGTCTCATTTTCATATCTTTATACCTCAAGTTTACATCTTGGTATTTTATGTTCATACCTTATGGTTCAAATTTACATTTAGTCCAATAATGCTGTCTTTTCAGGGGTTAGAGTTTACTGAAAGTTTTACACAGAAGAGAAGGAAAGATCCAATGGTGTCCTTGCTATTTGTGCTGCAAAATCAGCTGCCCAGCCCTACATTTCTCTAGCTACAATATCCTCCCTGTGAGTCTTCTCACTCCTTGGCCCGTAATGTTCATGCATAGTTGTCAAGGCATAAAGATTTTCTCTTCTCAATGGGCCATAAACAAAGGGAGTGGTGGAAATACTTTGAAACGGTCAAAGACAATCAAAACTGACCAGAACAAAGGAGATTTGCATTCTTGGTTCTTGATTACTTTTGTCAAGTTTTTTCTCATTGAAACATATGCTAAAAATGCATACAGCTTCTTTGAGATAGCTTAGTGACGAGTGAAATAGGCTTCAAATTTACTGTCGGTTTTGTGTTTCACATTTCAGTAAGCCACTGAACTTTGTTCTAGCCTTATTATTTCAACATCTGTTCCTAGGTGTTGGGTCAAGGAGGTCTTGAAAGCCCTTTGGGTCTGCCACATCTTCCATGTAAATTAAGTGAGATGCTTCCCCAGACAAAATCAACTAATTTCTCAATATCTGCATTTCCCCCTCTGATTTCTAAGCCAAATACATGATTATGACTTGCTATGAATTTCTTGCATTGTAACTTTAAATGAGAAAGAAATGCTGCAGCTGGTTTTAGAACACGTCCATAACTGAATGTAGACGGCTATATCTTTCTTTTGTTTTTATTCTGAATTGGAACAGTCACAGTAGATTGCTACAATTTTGTTCATGTTGACGTCTACTTATGAAAGCAAAAAACTAGCTCTAAATTGTTGCGATACTTTGAGTGAACCAAACCTCGGATTGATGAACTATTGCGTGAATTGCAGTTCTAGTGTCCAGTCTCATGTAACTTTCCTTTCCATGTTTATAAAGAAGTTGATGGCAGGAGGCTTTGAACAATCGGATATGGATTTGTTGCAACTAGACCATGTGGATAGTCTACCAGATAATTTTATGGACCAGATAGACATGCCATAGCTGAAAAAGAGGCTTGGTTGTGCAAGAGGACTGGTCTGACTGAAAATGCTGTTTTATTGTTTGATCTTGTCACTGGAAAGGTCAAATTTTTTTATTTGATTGTTGGATCACTTTGCTAGCTCATTTCAAGAAGGCTTTCAAATTAGGTATTGAAAATGCTGTTTTATTGTTTGATCTTGGATTTTCAGCTTTAGTTTTTATTTCTTGTTTAGGGATTCTAATTTTCTTTCTTTGTTAGTGTGGGTTTCTGACATATTCAAAGGGCTGTGCCTCCTTGAAGAGGCAGGGAATTAGAGAGAAATTTATTGAGTAATAAAGTTATTATTATTATTATTATTCTTGTGACCCTTTTCTTAAAATTCTATTTTCCTTATTCTTTGAATTCTATTTTATTTTCCTTATTCTAGATAAAAATGCTTTTCAAAAACTTAAACAATCACATCGATGCTACAATAGTTATCAGTGCCTGGCAGGTTGATTTAGGACCGGACTCTGCCCGGTAGATTAATTTAAGACTCTAGAGCTCTGACTGAATTAAAAAAAATAAAAATTAAGATTGTAGTTGGTAGTGATAATATCATTCAGAATCAGAATTACAATATTTTTTAATATAAAATATTTTTTTTAAATAATAAACTTTTAAATTTTATTATTTATAATATATATAGTTTATATTTATATAAATATTTTTTAATCTTTTTATATAAGATATTAAAACATCAAATATTTTTTAAAATTTTTTAAAATTAATCCAGTGGTTTCTTGACCAAGTTAACCCCAAGCCAAGTTTAATAACCATAAGTATTATTATTATAAATATCATTATTTTGTTAATATTATTAATTTTACTATTATTGTTGTTATTATTATTATTAAAATCATTACCTTTATGTCATTACTGTCAAAGTTACTACCAATATTA